CAGATAAAATAGTTTATTCACTTTGTATTTTGACATGGCCTTTTAAGCTTGTAATGCTTATCAAGAAATTTTTGGACGTGTAGTTCATTTTTCTCTTCATTTCGTCAACAAGCACCTTATATTTTGCAACAGCGAATAAATTTTCAGTCTTACGTTCTGTATTCACCTCTTCCCATATGTCCTTTGATGTGAACATTAGGCGTTGGCACCGCTAGATTTGCAATGTATGGTATATATTTATGATAAATCCATATAGACTATAAGAAGCAATTAGAAAAACTTATTAAAACCGCATGCCATAAACAGTGCGGGCTCAGAAAACAAGTTTGGCCTCTTTTGTTGCCATTTGGCCACTTTTCAAACCATATTTGGCTACAAACGAGCGCTGGAGCCTAACAACCCTGAACCTGACGTTTACTCCTCATTTGACTCTGAAGATGACTACCGCTAAGGTTGTCGAAACGTCAGTCAACAACAACAAAAACAGTCGTTCTCAGGACTTTATTAACCTGGACGATCATCATTTACAAACATATAACGATACTCCCGGGTTCAAACCATTTACTTTATTACGATATTGATGACAGTAAAAAGAGTTGCGGCATTTCTTGTATATAGCGAAATAAAACAGAATTTTCATTCTATATTCACTTCAAATAAATTTTTTCATATCGTATATTTAACTATGCAAGATAACTCATAAGCGAGTGACGAGCAAAGAAGATTAGCGCGCGTCTTAAACGATGGTTGCTTTGAAATTTAATGGCTTTATTACCACTAAATCATTTTTATGCAATTTGAAAAATATCAAGAATAATTATCATTAGGTTGAAGAAAATTATTTCCGATTTAGGTTTTTTATCTCCCATGCTGTATGCATTAAACCAAAAGCAGTTGACGTTATACTGCGTCCTTAACCCAAATCTCCTCGATGTTTTGATCTTTTCTTAATTTTTGTGTCGTAGTTTTGTAAAGTCTGTCTATTTTGTGCATTCTGCACGTCGCATGTACCCCTTTTGTCCTATTTTATTAATAAAAAATGCTTGCTGTTTTTGCTTTTTTTAGGTTTCAAAAGTCATGAAACGCCCTGTCAACTCCATTCCGTAAAACACGCTCGATTTCCTTCGTGGGGAACTAATACAGGAAAGTTTTCTCATAAAGGCTACATATACTGCTGCAGTATTTCTGCCTGAAAAAGTGATTCTCATTTCATGGCAATAAAAAATTTTTATGATGTTTTTTTCCCTTAGGTATACTGAAATTGATAGACAATAAACGTAGAACTCATTATAGTATAGCAGGATCATGTATCGTACAGTAGTCATCGAATTTTACCAAACATGTGCTGTATTTGCGTTTATAATATTAAAACTTGAACTGGTTAAGTATACGTTTTAACCAATTTCAGATGAACGTACTCGTCGTAAACCAAAAAAAGTTTGTGAAAATGACAAAACGCGCTTTTTTAACTGTCGAATGTGTAAAAATAACGAAAAAGTTAGGCGAAAATTACTGCCACGGCACTTCCAATTTCCGTTCGGATGGCCTAATCTAAACAAATGCCATGGTGAATGGTGATAATAACAATGTAATAGTTCTTAAAAGAAGTGTTTTAACCAAAATACTAACCAAACAATTCAAAGGAACCGTTATTTACAGCTAGAAAGAGACACTATGCATTGAACAATCACAGCATGAGTTCATTTTGAATTCTTTAATATTATTAAAAGTAGTTATATTGAAAGGTCTAGGACTTCGGGATGCACTGATTTTAGTGCTCTTTACCTGTTTGAGCCATTAAAATCGGTTAAAGATAGATTTCAAAATAGCAAATGCCATGGTGAATGGTGATAATAACAATGTAATAGTTCTTAAAAGAAATGTTTTAACCAAAATACTAACCAAACAATTCAAAGGAACCGTTATTTACAGCTAGAAAGAGACACTATGCATTTCGGCAGACTACTCATCAGGTGTCAACGTCTGCTAAATGAGAACATCCAAACCATGATATATTTATAACGTTACAAAAGGTCAATGTCATCCCTATTTTTAGAGATGACACTTAAAACAGAGACAGATTAAGCACGTAATCCTTTTGTCTGCAAAGGACAGGATTAGTCAATTTAATTAATACCGACTCCATGAGAAAAGAATTTCTGTTTCTTAGACACTTTTCTTTCTTTCATTGCACTAAGTTTGACATGTGTTATGGTTTTTAACCTACGACCTTGGGTTTACCAACTTGTTATCGTGAAGCAGTTTTGTTTACTATCTAACTTGAGAAACTTACCTTGATTTTTTTTAGGGGCGGGGGGGGGGTGGGTTAGGAGAAATACCCATATATTAGCACAATATATTTTACCAAGGTTGCAAACCCCTGGGCTGGTTGTTCAAAAGCCGGTTGACGCTAACCCAAGATTAAATATGCCTAACCTAGGGTTAGATTGCGTCGCTCGTAATTAGGTTATCTTAAGCCCTCGGTTAAAACAAAGGTTATCGATATGTAATCCATTGAATAAAAACAATTTTTTTGAAAAATTGCTTTCCGTCTGTGATTGTTTGTGCTGATTGAACTGACATTGTTAACTGACCTTATCTGTATTCATGCACTTCAACCCAGGGTTAGTTAACGCAGCGCTTAACTCTGATTTGTACAACGTATTTTTAACACTGGATCAGCTATCCTTAGGTTAACAAATTTAACCCTCGTTTAGTTGTTAATCCTATATGTTAAGTTGACCGGCTTTTGAGCAGCCGGGCCCTGCAGTACCGTACAGTTTGTTAGTGAATTAAAGTCGACGGGTTATGTTATGCATTTCGCATTTTGACCAATATATGTGCATTTAACAGTTGCTTCTAAGATCTTGCAATGGATGTTCCAAATGCCCCTAAAAGAAATGAGTCGTTGCATCTGCAACAACAATATCTTTAAATTAACGAACAAAAATTAAATAAACAAAGTTATTAGTTCATTTTACTGACTTTTAATTTGGTCAAAAATTCTCAGATTAAAACAATCCAAAGTAATTTCTTTGCAGAAGATTTAATAGAGTTTTATTCATAACACGTAAATTCTGTCCTTTTATCCACCAGATTCAGGGAACATACACAACAGCCAAAAACTTTCATATCTACCGACACCTTAAATCTCACTGATAAAAAACCAACTATTCGCCTCTTGCTTCAAAATCAACTGCAAACATCTCATTCTTCCTTAAAATCAAAGAAGCACTCCACATCAACAAAACTAACCCTAACCGCAATGTTCAAGATTTCAAATTAAACGCAACATTTAGTTTGTAACACGCTCCCCATTAACTTATCTTATTTCCTTATTATTATTGTATTTTATGTATCATATTACTTTCATATAAACCTTGTATTATCTATGTAATCATTCATTCATACTGAAGATGGCATCATGACATGTCGAAACACGTACATTTTCAAATAATTGTGGTCTACACGTACATTTTGCGATATATACGTGTAGACCTTCGCAGAGGCAATATGCGCATTAGCAATATCGCCTCTGCGAAAGGATATCGACACTTCCATATGGTCTAGTGGTTAGGATTTGTGGTTTTCACCCACAAGGCCTGGGTTCAACTCCCGGTATGGAAAGGAAGTAAAATACTTTAGTAAATAATACTTGTTAATTTTTACCTTTTTACTTTAATAATTTCGTATATAAAGCACAGCAGTTCATTTAAATAAATAGAAATAAATTGGCTAACAAAATTTAATTTATTCAGTTTGTATTTCTACAACTCCTAATCTTACAACAAAGGTTGTAACATAAAATAGTTCAGGGTGATAAATTATCCTAAAAGAGTAATTAAATTAAAGGTTTTCGATAAAATTTAACGCAGTCCTCTTATTAAATTATGAAATTCCAGCTATTTTTTTAAAGTAGATTTTATGAATGGAATAGTATTTAAATAACTATTTATAACGACATGGCTCATACTTTCGATTAACAATGCCAAAATATAAAAACTTTAAGCATAAAAAAAGTATCGATTAAGTTTTTAAGTGTAAACCAACTACAATAGTAAATAAACCTACAAAATATTTATGCATAAAAAATATCAACGTAAGATAAATAAGTTTACAACACCTATTTGTTTCGTCCATTTTTTTAAAACGTTACATGTCAATGTTCCTCAAAATGATGAAAGTTATCACATTTTAACGCTCTTTGTTGACTGTAGTATTTTCAGCGAATGTTTTAAATAAAGTTATATCTTATAGCTATCTTGTAAAAAGAAAACGTTTATGGTATTAAAAATTTTTTAATTATTTAAATTTACAACACAAGAACATTGACTTTACCATAGAAAAAGAACACGACAACAAGTTACTTTTTTAGACATACTCATTACTAAAAACACAGCCACAAACACATACATGACCTCTACGTTTCATAAGAAAACCTAAACTGGCCTATTACTTAATTTCTTTAGCTTCACCTCACAAAAGTATAAGACAGGACTGATTAAAACTCTCATAGACCGCATACGGAAGATTAACAACACGTCGACGAGCTATTATCATGTCGAAAACGGGTTTTTTTTGCTAACAAATTTGATCGTTTTGTTTACACAAGTTCTTCTAATGAAGTAAACCAAGCAAAGTATCGATTTATTTCTTCTGACACTTTACTTTTTCAGGCACTTACAACTTAAACCATCCTTGAACATGTTTTCCACAATTTTATTGGTTTACATCTTTACGATTTAACTGTCGTATTTATTGTTTATCATGTATCACGAGCACACCATCTATGAGCTTTATTGCATTTAACCATTATCTGTTTCCTTTCATTAACATGCGACGTCTAGTTCTCATCTTTGTTGGAGTATCGCGAGGCATGCAACGAAAATTTGTCATTTTTTTTTTTGCAAGACTTCTTCTCATAAAAGATATTAAAACATCAAAGGATATTATAAAAGTTCAAACAACTTCTGCCTTTTTGACTGATAATTCAAATAATCTCTAAGAATGTTTGTACGTGCTTTTACTTTTCACCTTTTACAATATAACTTTCTCGTACCTCTCTCGTGATGAACAAGAGCCTCCTTATACAACACAACTCTCTTACCATCAGCAAAAGCATCCCTGGGCCTTATGAAAGGAAGGTAATATTTCATTTTTTATAAGAGTTTCTACAAAGATAACATATTTAATGAGCCAAGCAATTTGTATCGTCTAAATTGAACCTCACTTTTAACTCTTATGTTATTAAATTTTAATTCGCTTTTGACATTAATTTCTTTTTACTTTCCAATATTTTCATGACTCAATGTAGAAAGCTAGTTCTATTGTTGCAATTTTGCATTTATTTTAAATCACTATCACCTTTAATTAATAATCATCATTGTGCAATTCACAACTACATCTACATGTAACAAATATGAAATAACAGTATGAAAAAGCCATTTGAACAATTATACAGTATACTGTAATTTTCTAATTACATCACTTTTGCAAAATGAGTCTTGATCTTTTTATGCTCTAAATATCATGAAAAAACATAAGTTTTGTAACTTCGTATATAAAATTATTTCAAAAACAATTAAAAAAGCTAACATTAGTAACTAAACAACATTCGATTTATGTCCGTGCGTTTATGAATATAACTTTAGTACGTAGTTACATTCATTTCATTGTAAAAACTATCTCATAGACTGTCACTCATTTCCAAAACCTGGAGATTCAGCTAAACAGAATATGAACTCAATTTTAAAACTGTCATAACTCAAAAGAATGTCATTCACTGCCATGCAAAAAGTAATAGAAAAAGTATTTTACATGCAGCTTTCTTCCTGGAGTATATTGCTCGAATGTGATGGATGTATGGCTGGTCAAAACCAATTGTTGGTACTCCCGGTAACAAACTGCAACACTATGGGCAATGCAACAACCATTTCAGACAACTCTTCTGTTTTCAGATCAAATATTTTGTAAAGCTTAATGACACAACCTCCTTATTTATAGGTCTTTTGCTCACCCTAGATCAGAATACCGGTTAAAATAGTTCGTCCAGTTTTTCGTACGAAAGTAATGCACGCGCTTGGTGAGGATATTTGTGTAGATAATCGATGAAGCAATGGATATTCAACCTTTTTGATTGGGTATGTCATTAATGCATTTTAATTTTACCAGTAATCTATAACACTCCGAGACAAAAAGCAAGGAGAGGCAGAGCCTTGCTTAATTCAACTTAACATAACTGACCATAAGTGTGTAAACTTTTTTGTCTTATCGCAAGAATGTCATTATTGAAGCTTTTTCTGTTATCCTCACCAACAAACACGCAGGAGTGTGATACTTCACTGTGGAGTAATAAGAAAAATACGTTTCTCGAACCGCCTTCGTCAACTGCAGGCTCTCCTACGAACTGAATTTCGATCATCTTGTTTAGATACTCTTTTGAGCAATTCCTTATTTTAAATTTAGTATATTCCCACACATTTCTCTATTTTACATGAAAAAAGTTGTGATTTTTTTCAATTAAATTCTTGGTCCGCAGGCTCAGATTACCAATAAGAGAATGAAAGGTTAACTTTTAACAAGTTAATAACTTAAATTTCATATTAAATTTGGTAGCCTGACAACAACCATAACCCCACACTTCTTCCCCACTTTTCTTACTTGCGGGGAAACAGTCTTTTATTTTTCAATCTAATGTGACACACTCTTGACTAATGTAGCAGCAGAAAAAATTAATTTTGAAACTTGGTATAAAGAACAATGTTTAATCGATCACCAAAACATTCTTCAATCTTGTTCTAACGATTAACTAATGGTTTTTGGTTATGTAACCATGCAAAAGTGGTTCAAAATGGGGATAACAAAATTTTTAAAAGTGACAAAATAGTTCTGAGTTGAGTTTCCCCACATTTCACTCCTTCTACAGTGGTAAAGACAAAAGAATTTCAATTACTTCATTTGAAAAACAATGAGCTTGATCAAAATGGAAGCAATTCACACATGTTAGATAAGCACTACTGCACATAATAAATAGGTTTTTGAGCATATTTAAATCTTAACTTTCAACTGCATAATGATGTATTAAAGAAACTGTCATAATAAATTTTAAGTCACGATTAACTTTCTATAACAACTGTAATATTTATCTCTTAGACCATTCTGCTCAAATAAAATTTATGCCTTGATTTAATATATTAAAACCCAACACCTTGTGATAAAAATTATCAAACACAGTTCAAAAAATGCGGATACAATATTTTAATAAGTTGAATAATTTGGGCACATCGTGATAAACATACCTTGATCCAAAGATTGGAATAAATTTTTATCTAATTTTTGGAAAAATTCTTGGCAATGCTAGAAAGAGACTCCTCGGTAGTTAAACTAAAGTAAATTGTATGGAATGTGCTGTATATTGTTACATTTTTCTAATCACATCTGTAATCATTTCCGACTACAAACAATATTTCAAAAATAAAGAAATTGCGCATTGCAAATGATCGTAAATATTTTCATTTTCTGTTCATAGTTTGACACGTATCATATTTCTCATATTGTGAAACTGTAAATCAACAGAAATAATATTTGCATTTTGTAATATAGTTGAAAGTAAAATAAGTTGATTTGCTTAAAATTAAATTGTTTCCAGAAGTAAGGTAGCGTGGCCGAGTGGTCTAAGGCGCTGATTTCAGGCACCAGTCATGTAAATGGCATGGGTTCGAATCCCATCCCTGCCAATATATATATATAAATTAATGTTTTATAATCAGCTTTACAAAAATATCCAAAATTTTGTTTTGGATAAAACTCCCCTTACGCAATCCAAATAGTCAGTGGCATCGGTAAGAACTAGGTAATTTGCAAGAAAGGCTTGATTAGTGTATTTATGTAATTCTTGCATTGAAAGATTTTAGTCTTTCAAATTACTTTTTTTTTAAGTTGTCATTTTGATAAATGAACTATTGATATTTTTTTGTTTGACAAAGAATGTATGACATGCAAAATATTTTTTATTTGCCAATGAGAAACAAAAATTGTTAAATTTTCTTTCGTTTTGTAATAAACACAAATTATTTACCTAAAGAACCACCATCTATATGAAACTTCTTTCTCAAATTATTCGTAAATTAGGAGAGCCAAAAAGGCAAAAAATGTGACTTATTCCTGCACAAGATAAAAATTTTTAGGGACTATTAACCTAATTAATAAGAAAATTTGTACATTAATTTAGATTTTGCCTTAATCACCTTCAATGGTATGCACCCAATGCAATTAAACCTTTAAAGCAATTATATACATAATAATGGGGTGACTGGCAGAGAGTAGAAATTAAAAAAAGCATTTCTAGCATTTACAATTGAAGGTAGAATCAACATTATTGAGTCTCCATAAACTGCAAGCATTCTGTCATTCGCAAACTTTCAACAACATGCAATGAATACAGCATAGTCTGCTCAGTCTTTAATTCATGCAACACAAAATTTCACTTGCTGTGAAAACTATGGATTTCTAAAAAACAATTAATTAATGGTAATATTCTCAAATTTACCTACATTTTAGGATTATTATTTGCAAAATGATAAGGTCCCTGTTTGTTATAGCATGAATCCCAGGCAAGTCTTTCATGGAAAATAGAAACACCAGTGGGCATTAAAAATGTGTTATAGAGAAAATGCGCATTTAAATCATTTAATTTTTGGAAAACCATTGTTAAGTGAAAATCAAGGGAAAACCATAGATTTCTGATTATAAGATTTGTGAGAATGTTACAGGGCCTGCCTTTAAGTTCCAACAAACTCAGAATACTACAAAAATTTTGGGATCAACAGTCTTGAAGGCATACTCAAAAATAGAAAAAATACCACGTTTTTCCACCACTTTTTAAGATGTACTACCTGTGGCACCTCTCAAAACTTAACCCTAACTAATACAAGAAACATGATATGAATATTATGAAATGAGTATATGTATGTAAATACTAGGATCTTATTACTTTTATAAAGGAGAAATTGCATTATTGAAGAAAAGTACAGATCGATGTAATGCAAAAAGATATAGTAACCAGTGTTACATACATATTACATCTGACAACAGAGAAAGATAAAAAGCTAGAGAGGGTTGAATACAAATAAAAACAAGATTGTTTTTTATAGTACATAATAAAAGTAAATTTTACAAACATCGTCAGCAAACGTTGCAATTTTCAATTGTCAAGCAATACTAAACATAAACACACTGGTATTGTGGTATAGTCAGAAAATAAACCATGTTCTCCCCAATAAAGGGAAAATCCTATGTATATCTGTTTATATATCTCTGACATCTTGTAAACTGTCTATTATATAAGTTAAGGGTCTAATTAGAGGATATAAAATGCACGCTATATTTAATGTCAGTTACAGCAATAATAACTAAACCCATCAGATCAAAAAATACTGGCGAAGATCACTCGTTGCTAATGAAAAAGAAAGCGGGGGTAAAAAAATATAAACTCGTGCATTCTGTTTACCTTGACTCTTTCAAACGTGATATTAGCTTGGTTCGCAGCTTCTTGGATGACATCCCTCATACTACCTGCTGTTGAAATCATTCCTCGATCATAATAATCCCTCAAGATCTTTTTTTTTGTTCGTCATTTAATATATCATAAGATGCTGAACGTCGAACGTTTTCCGCCATAGCCATATCACAGAACAGGAATATAAAGATGACTAAATAAAGTATTAACTAAATGCTTTAATCACATACATCAGAATGAGCGGAAACATTTTATTGACGCTTCGTAAGGCATTTCTAAAAATAGTAACTAACGCTTTAATCGTTTTAGAATTGGTGAAACGGGTGTTACATTAATATGGTTTCATTTAGACTTATTTTAGGAAGATAATATAGAGTGGTTTCTGTAAAAATAAGATAAATTTTATATCTTACTGCGTGTTTTAAAGAAATATAAGAAAATAGTGAAACTTATAACAGTGAATGTAAGGGTATTTTCCTTGATTACACCGGCAATTGATTTGTTAAATATTACTGCTTAATTCTGGGATACATGTTAGTGGATAGAAGAGACTCAGACGTCAGTCCTTGTCGACCTCGTGGTCGTTAAAGTCAGTTATTGTGGTTTAATGTCGTCTTCACTGAAATGTGTTCTGACAATTTTTGTTCCGGTAAGTGTGAATTTTAGCTGTTTTTATCATGTTAAAGGGAATTAGCAAAGCCAAAACAATCAATACATCGCAATAGGTTATTTTATTTTCAGGAAAACTTAAAAATAACGCTTATTCGTTGGAAATTTCCACAGAATATTTTAAAGTATTTGTCATTTCAAACGCTTTTATTTTAATATGTAATGACTGACTTGCGTATCGATAAACGGAGGAATATTTTGCAATAAAAGTTTTCGCTTATTGACTTTTTTCATCTCCCAAACAGTAGAAAATTAGCTTCGGTTAAATGGTTGAGATTAAAATGTCGAGCCTCAGGTATCTAAGAACGTTGCTTGATGAATTTCGAGTTTGAAGTAAACCATATTGCCGTTTATTCATGAATAAGAAAACAAAACGGAAAATTTGTTTTTTCACCATTCAATTCTCTGTATTTGCCAGACATTTGCTGGTTTCAAAACGAAAATAGTGGACACTAAGCAATTTTACTTCCTCTGTCACAACTCTTTCGTATGTTAGTCTATAGGAATATTTTATACAGAATGCATTAGCAGTAAAGATGTCATTTTACAAATAATGCAAGGGATACAAACAAAATCATGCTTCTCAGAGGCGAATGAAAGCAACTGCGAAATATAGTCGATTTTTTTAGGTATTCTTATAAATAGAGCTTGTTCGAGAAAGGAAAGAGAGTTGCGAGATGTCTTCCGATTCCTCTGATGATGAATCTGAACGTTCGTCATCTCCGAACTTTCCTGAATATGAGAGATGTATGAGCGAGGTATAAAACATAAAATATTTGAAATATTGAACTTCTGGTGAGCTTTTCCCATTAAAATTAAAGGATTAAAACATCTCTTTTTTTATTTAGAAATTAGACGGTATTTTTCCATCGCATGTCGTCAACATTGAAACAGATATGGATATACGTTGTTTGTGTTATTCTTCATTCTTGAAAAGTTTCTTGTACAGTTACAGGAGCGATGCACTAGGACTTATAAGTGAAGATTTTAAATCTGATGTGAAGAAATTCATGGATATAAAATTTGAAATGAACTCGAAAAATTATGTGTTGGAATTTTACCCTGCTACAAAATGGGCCGTCTCTTTTGACGGCTCGTTAATCGCTGCAAGTGCAGCATTCAATCATCGTCACAAATATAAGATTATCAATTATGTTTTGATGGTTTTTGCCATCCCAGATAATGAGGTCGGCAAGTTACCTAAACCGGTATATTGCATAAACTGTTTTCATGCTCGCATTTCTCAAATTAAGTTCTTTCCAAATGGAAAGAGAATTGCCGTCAGTATTTGTTTGAATCCTGATCTTCCCCATGACTTGGATCGTTTTTGGTGTCATGTGTATAACCTACCAGACGGTTTGTGGAACTTAGAAGAATCTATAAAAGGCGGACCCGACCAATGGATTGATCTTAAAGTTGAATTTAATGGAGTTGATTGCATTCAATTAGGTTGCCCTATTCTTGATACGGAACTTGAGGCGAATGAGCGTGACGAGCAAGTGTTAAAAGAAAGACGTGAAAGTGGGAATGAAAGTGGTGTTGAAGATTATTTAGATTTGCGGGCGGAGTATGTTTCTGATGGCTTCAATTGTTTGGCTCTGTCTCCTGATGCCAGCCGTCTTTTGGCAGGAAGCACTGATGGTGAACTGTTCTATTTTGATGCTGACAGTTTAAAACTACTACAACGCGTTCGTGTTTACGATTATTATACAGCAATTGAAAAAAGCTGCTACAATCCTGCATTTGGCCGTGGGGAATTTGCAATATGTGATTGTTATGGGCTGTTTTGTGTGTGGCGCGTTTTTAATCTTTCCGACAATTCTGAAAAATTCCAATTAGCCCATCAAAAAAGGTTGACAGTTCACCCAAAGCATCACAATTACTTTGATTTGCTTAATGATATCAGTTATTCTCCTGACGGAAAACTTATTGCTGTTACCATAGCTTGTCGAATTGATTACATTGTTAAGACGTTCATTATTGGCTCGCGTTCTGGTGAAATTTGTTATACGTTGGATTGCGTTGATGAACCTGATCGACAGTGTGTGAAATCTGGGTGTCTGACCTCGTTTTTTGGTAATTTGTGTCAAGTTGCTTCAGTTACAAGTGTTCATCCCCGCGTTTTTTTCTGGAAGTTGCCCGTTGTCTACGATTTACAAACATTGTGTTTACTAGCAGTTAAAGCGTTTGTGTCTTATAATAACGTTGAAAAACTCAACATACCTTTTTGTTTAAAACAAGAGTTGAAGTATATTTATTCTTAATTCACTTCAGAAAGTCAATAAATAATTACCTTCTGTTGGGCATTCAAACACAGCAGTTATTTTTAAAACTGGAATTTTATTGGTTGTTACTCATAAGCTTGTGCACTTGAATCTATGTTGGCTAATTCATAACACGTGAGTAAATTCGAAAGGTAGCTTCTATTGACAATTATTCGTATACCAGAGCATTTTTTGTTGATTGATTATAATTATGCCACGCGGTTGCATAAGAAAACTGGACTTCTTTTATTAAAATTATGTAAATTTAGATAGAGTTAAATATTCATTCAAACACGTTTACCTCATCGAATTATGTTAATTTTCATCATGGGCGTGTGAAATAGAATATCGCAGAAAAGGTATAAAGTAAATTAAAGTAATTTATAAAACATTGAAATACGTAAACACGTAATAACTAAATTATCAAGCTCTTAATAACCGAGCGCGAGGTCTTTACGTAAAAATATTGCACCGAGGTCACCAAGGCAAATATCTGATTGCTGTCTTTGGCATTAGTCGAATATTAAAGAATGGTTCTAAGACATATGAAATTATGTTGTTGTTATTACATTTGTGTTTTAGAATGCAGAAATAGTAATGTATTATGTTGCAACAAAAGGGAAACATCCCTTTCGAACTACACCACATAGACGAATCATCATTTCGAATGGAAAACCTGTCGGCTAGAACGACATCAAAAATGAGGCATTGAAATACCTTTTTTCGTGGATTTCAAATCTACAACCTTTAGACGGCCTATATGCCAAAGAGGCGATGAAACATCCTTTTCTTATGTCGTATGAGAAACGGGTGTTTCTTCTTAGAAAGCCAAAAAGCACAGGACATAACATATCACAACCAGAACACACTTAATCAAAAAAAAAACTTTTGGAAAAACTTAATTCAAACATTACCGAACTCGTACTTAACAACTACAAAATACTTTGCTCGATTACTAACTTAAGCAGGAACGGACTTTTACTAATGGAAGCACTCTTTATTAAATCTATTTTTTTATGCTCTACACTGATGAGGAGGAATAACAAATTCTTTATTATATGGAATTGAAAGTAGTTATCGTGCAGCTTTGTCACACTTTTGTCATAGAGCTCTTACCCGTGCCAGTAAGTTTCCAGTCCCCTGAAGTTGATCGGTGCGCGCGCATGTCAACAGGAAATAGGGGTTAATAAACAAGGCATGGCATTGGATTGCGTGAAAATCGGAAATAAGACAAAGCTGGAAGTTGCATGCTATTGACAAAGTAACAGCAGATCCGCCTTATGTTTTATTGGTTAATAAACCGGATCTATGTCATTGTGTATTCATTCTTCAAACTATATAGTTCAACTGTCATTTTGGTAATGTTATTCGTATTGACCATTGCTGTGTATCTTTTGAACATTTGTTGGCTGTGGTGGAAAATAAAAAGGCATTATTGCACACCTGTTTAATCAGATATATGCCAACAATGTTGAATTCGTAGATATCGGCCACAGTGACCTTATCAGTGTGCTTTATCTCGAGTTTTTAAGTAAAAAGATTCAGAAGCTACAAATAGCTGAGAAAGATGCAAGTGTATTCGAAGCTTGTACAGAACTTCAAAACTGTTTGGAAATGTTGACTGAGGAGGATCTATGGTTCAATTTTGAAAATCGAGCAGTGAATGCAATCAATTGCGAACATGTCTGGAATGGAATATGTGAATCCTTCAAGTTTCTAAAGTACAGTGGACCAACATCTTCTCAAAAGACATACTATGAAAAACTCTGGAAAGCACCGTGGAATGAACATATGTCAATGATTGACAATTAAGCAGACAAATTGAATGATATCAACTGATTCTAAACATCAACTGATGTTTTTATTAATGAAGACTTATCGAGCATTTCAGTGATCATTAATATATATATCTTAATAAAGGAATAACACAAATCTTTTCATGTGCAAGATTCTTCAACACTCATTACTGTCTCCGATAAAATTGAAATTTATTTTTTGTTCAACTGACAAACGAAACTCCATTTCATTGCCAATATAAATGTAATAAGTACATAACTTTCCACCAGCTATATTTTCAAAATGACGCTGGTATTTTATATTACATTATATTAAAAACGCAAGAAAGGATAATATTTATCATGCATTGCTTTATATCAATATGCTCTAATCAATGCAGAACAAAAGAAGACCTAAAAATAAAAATATGCCGGTACAATATTATGAGGGTT